TACCTTTTGGTGCTCACTCGGTGAAATATATTCCGATCTTACACTGAACTAAACAAATATCCTCTATATATTAAGATACAGCCTTTGAAGTTGAAATACAAAGAATTGTAGCAATGGTGTATGACATTAACATGATATTATATAATTAAAATGGCCATGATGGCCCTGGATCGCTCACTTGAGAAACGTTGCTAGAAAAGGTTCAATGTTTAAGTCAGTAAAGAGGTCCCATTAAGTTTGCCATTTTTTACTTAAGCTTTATAACTTTCAACGTAGTTTTGTAAATGTCTACTACGAAATGTTTTGATGACACATATCTCAGCGTTTGACTTTTGTAGTTTCACATAAAAAGGATTTTTTCTATATAAGCCTAGATTATCTAAGTTATCATAGGGGCATGGTGGGCAATTTTGACCTAAGTGCATGATTTATATAATTTTTAGAGGACCACAAGGTGATGCGACATGTCAAAAATCTAACCACGGGGCATTATATAGTGTCTGAGAAAAAGATTGTTTAAGAATTTAATTTTAACATTTTTTTAGCTGTGCCAAATATCTTACCTCCGGGTATTGTAGTGTTTGAGAAGAAAATTCTTTAAGACTTTCAATTTTTAAGGCTATTGTTAGCTTATGTAACCGACATTTGCATCAGTCTTGAACCATTAATCTTACTTTTGTAGAGGACAACCAAAAAGGAAAATTCCTATTAAATGTTGCAGAAATCCATAAAGAGGGTTAGATTAGACGTTGTTTACATATCTAGAAATTGAGGATAACGACGGTCGGTCACTGGCATAAAAATGACCTCTAAGCACGTTATACTCAGTTGATAGAGTACAATTTTTATTGTAATGGTTTGAGAAATAAACATGATATATCAAAATACAAATGAACAATGATAACAAATGTGTGTGACAATAACATAGTATGGTACTGGTGTTGGTAGTATTCACTCCGGATCACGACAGTAAGCCACATTGAATTCACCAGAGCACAGTTCAACCACCGCATTGTTCCTGGGCAGGATGTCAAGCAGTTTACCAGTACTAGTTGCATTCTCTTTCGCAAGGAACTGAAACTTCTGTACATGCCAGAGCAGAGGTACGGTAAGAATGACCGTAGAAATGATTTCATGATCAATCACAACGAAAGTGATCTGCGCCGTCCGGGGATTGAACCCGGGCCGTCCAATTCACAGACCAACACTCTACCTATTGAGCTAACCGGACGGCTACTAACATAACTTATGACATTATATACAAGTTTTAACAATGTTAGACTCTTATGATATAAACAAAATTATTATAAAGGTATTAGACATAAACATGGTATGATATAACTACTAGTGTACACTTTATGTGAGAGACATTAACATGATCTGAAAGTAAGCTAGTAATTTATTTCAATGATGTGAGATATTGACATGACATAATATTAAAATACAAATTTGTATCTAAACCAACTGTATAACAATTATAGAGGGTCACCCAATGATGATTCCAGTTAAGAAGGTCGCATAAACCAACAAAAATAATATAACTCTCCTCACTAAATTAATTTGTACAAGAACGATGATTGTCGTAAATTTATCACGTCAAAGTAGTATCACAGAATATCTTTCATAAATTGAAAGCATGTTTAAAACAAAATATAAAACTGTTAAGAGCACTGCTCGGAAAACAATACAGAATAAGATGGGGTAATTTAGTGGACATAGAAAAAGCAATCTTATATAAAAATATGATTTAGCATCTTGCAGAATATTAATGTAGAGAAAATGTATACAAAACTTCACACAATTATGGCACATGTTAGAAATTGATAAAGGATTCGTTTGAGCCTTCAAAATATATACAACTCTCCTAACTAAATTCATTTGTGCAAGAATGATGATTTGATTGTCCTAGCCCAACATAATTTGTTTAAAGGCTGATTATGCCTCAGCAATGCTTTTATTTTTTCAAAAGCTTTTAAATAATGGTGATCTGTTTTTTGTTGCCAAAAGGATATTCATTTGCCATTTATCTTTTGCTGCTGTTGCTGTTTGAAATTAGTACAGTTAATTTTGTAATGAAGTCAGAATAGTACTTTGTTAACATTTTGCTTTCTCTATTATAAACAAGTACAAATGTTGCTGCAATGCAGCAATTGAGAAGCTCCGCGCAAAATAAATTTATGCGCTCATTACAGATAACTTACCAAATTGTTCCTACGCACAGGTCATGTTATATTCAGATTAAGTACTATTGTAGATTTTTTCCGAATGTTTTGTAACCATTTTGCATAATTATTACTTATCTTTATGGCACTGTCCATAACTGTCCATCGTTAAAAGACGGGGAAAAATATTTAATAAAAAAATGCTTTCACTGATGCCTACCTGGGTAAGAAAGTAATTCCATTGAATACAAACAAGACTTACAAGACTTGTAAATGTTATGTGACATGACTGTACTGCTGTTCTGTTTCAGTTAACAGAAGATAGAAATATCAAAGTCTGTTATAATTGTTACAAATATACAAAATAGTAAAAGGGACTAATATTATATAGTAATAATTACATATATATTTTTCATGTCAAATTAAAAAAAATGGTTTCTTTCAATACTGAAAGTAGAACACACTCTGGAATGAAAAAATGGGTGAATTTCCAAAAGACAAATTCAGATTTTTTTTGTTTGTTAACACGCGTTAACATGGTGATTATAGTATTTATCAATATAATAGAAGACTGTTTACCTGAATTTAAGGTAGGTATGAGGAAAATTCACTTTTATCATATTCATGCGAGACAAAGATATGAAAGCTATTTGACATTGGTAATATATTAAAAAAAACTATTGTTAATTTCATTTTTAGGGAGATCAATAATATTTTATGTTGAATTGCTTTAAAACATTCATAAAAAACATTACACTTCATGTTCAAACTGCAGATCAATGTTCTGTTGTTGTCATGATATTCTATCTATAGCCTATGCCTTAATGTGATTCCGCTTTGTCAGTCATGTTTGTTTTAACTAAAGTCTGTCCAAAGTGAAAGTAGGCCAAAATTTCATGTAACAACAAAGCTCTTATTGTTAAATGTGAACCATTTGAAATGACACTTTCCAGGGTTATATTTTAAGGACAATTATAAACAAAAATAAAAATGATACAATAAGAACTATTTACCTTTGAATGTGCTACATTTCTGAAGACCAAAAACATTCTGTTGCAAAGTTTTATGGCACATTTCATGAATTGCAAAATCCTTTTAAAGTCTGTTTTTAGTGCCAGTTTTGCAGCAAATACAATTAATATTATTATAATCTTTCAAAAACTTAACTCCAAATAAATCAGTATCTCATTGTTCCTTCTAAGCACATGACCTCCATTATCTTTTTTTGTAAAAAAGTAGTGCAAGAAAACAATCATCATTTATAGCCTTATGAACTACAATTTAAAATGAAACACCAATCAAACTTTAAAATCTAAACCTTTTTTATGTTGTAACAGTTTGAAGTGTGTCCTGTTTGTCATGTACACAAAAATAAGGTTAATGATTGTTTTATTTTCATGGTACTACTTTTTACACATGTCATGGAGGCCACGTTTTTCAAGGTCATAAACTACTTTCCTAAGATTTATGTTTTTTAAAAAGTTTTTGTTTGCTTTTTCTGCAAAAAGTACCATTTGTTTGCACTAAAATAGACTTTAAACTGGATTTTGCCATTCATGAAATGTGCATAAAGATTTGCAACAGAATGTTTTTGGTCTTCAGAAATGTAGCCCATTCAAGGTAAAAAATTTCTTATTGTTTATCATTTTTATTTTTTGTTTAAAATAGTCTTTGAAACATAGGAATTGGAAGTGTACTTGCAAATGGCTCGCCATATAATAATGTGAGCTTTGTTGATATATGAATTTTGGCCTACTCTCACTTTTGCTCAAACTTGTGTAAACAAACTTGGCTGGCAAAGCGGAATCACCCTAATAAGGGTCCATCCGCTCGCAAGGCTTTATAATCCAGCATTCGCTGTCGGGTCCCGGACCCCCGAACATGTCACCATTCATACCATCATCACAAAGTGGTATGCTGTGTACCAATGACGCGAACGAAATGTAACTTAATATACTAAAGTTTAATTATTTCAAAACAACCAATATATCAACATGTTATTATTAAACATTTAATTTCATAAATATAAATTAAAAATAATTATCAAAAGCAAAATTGTTAAAATCTTTTGCCTGAAATCTTTTTTATATTGACAAATTCACTAATAGTATACTTGATATGTATTTCAAAATGTAACAAATTATAATTGCATGTACTACTAAAAAAGGGAAATAACAAATGTATAACATTTATGTAACAGCAGAACTGCTTTCCGGTTCTCATTCATTAATACGACATGCTGCGAATCATCGACGGGGAAAACAATATAGAAATCGAAAGGAGTTCTTGAATGCGGATTTACTTTTAGCTGTTAATCGAAAGGATTTATTGCTCAAATCCGGGCCCATGGACAAAAAAAAGTAAACACAAATAGCCACAGGCGCGGAGCAATAATATCACATTCAGCCTTACATTCTTTTAGTAATAAGCATCCAACATGCTTTCAAACCATTAATAAACGTTATCAACGTACTCTTCTTTGCCCTTTCTTATGTAGGAAAAATGTTTTCATTTCTGAGGCATAATTTATCACAGTCAAAATAGTCATAGACTATCTTTTATAATTTGAATAAAAATAATTTTCTCTACTTTTATAACAACAAATTATAAAACTGTTATTTAAAAGAAGTAAAACAAATCTGAAATATTTACACAGAAAACAACAATGGACGATAACTTGTTTAACAAATATCAACTGAGTACAAAAATATGATTGAGAATCTTGCAAAATACGAATATATGGAGAGAAAAACTATAAAAAAAACTTAAAATCAAAATTATTTTAAAAATACATACTTTAGAGCATCAAGCAAAGTTAGTAAATGTGTCAATTTGGTGATCTTTGTAAATAAACAGCTAAAACCAAGAAACTTCATTCCATGCCCGGATTCTTCTCCCACACCTCTGACAGTGATCGAGTCGAACAAGGCAACGTTGGCATAACAAAAAGTGTCCACAGTCTCTGATAACGGCATCGCGGATATTAAGCATACACTTCGAGCACTTAAGTCCATCTGGAAGTTGCTGTCTCAATCTATATGGTAAAGCTCTAACTTGATTCTGCAACAAGACTATTAAACAAGTTGGTGTCAATGTCAATTTTTCAAGTGGGTGTACTTTATGCAGTAAATATAAATTTTAAATTCTCAAAACAAGCCATTCTTCAACTTATACTAAATGAAAATAAGTTTTTTTTTAATTATTCAGAAAAATACAATTAAAAGCAGAATTTGAATACACACATTCGATGATAATTAATAAACAGCGGAATTAAAAGCTATGTTGTTTAAAAATCTTTTAATGCAGATGCACCAAGATGCACCAAGAATCCAGATACCTGAAATTTTTAAAAATGTATTTAAAGATGAAATATATAATGGGATTATAGTGAAGTGACCGAGACATTGCAAAGTGAACTTACAATCCACGTTAATAATCAAAAAGAGGTCAAAATATGCAAAAATAGTCTTTGCTGCTTTAGTCACGCATGATAAATATGATGATAAATACTGCAAAGGTAGTCATTAATCACAAATAACATGCAAATTATTACTTGAATCTTTCTACTATTTTTCTCAAGTTTAATTTAATTTTAATGAAATATTCTGACCCATCTGGAGGCATGTAGCTTTCACAGTTGTGACAGCTGTGACCTAAGTGATATGTATAAAGTACCTTCAGAATGTTCATTGTGTCCTATAATTCTGTTATGATGTTCATTTCTAAGAACAACTACTCGTCCGCGTGCACGATTTTCATGTCTAAGGGAAACAACTCGTCCTTCTGCATCACTGTTGTTCTCGACATATGGTCCTGTATTTCTATATCGTTCAATATGCCCATTGTAACCTGTTTCTTGTCTAATATGTGCTTGATTTTCTCCGTTCCAGAAAAACCGTGCCGCCTGTCTTATGAGAGTAACGATCACATTCACTCTAGTAATAATCTAAAATTTCCAAAACCGTGTATTTATTATATAATTTTGTTGTAATATATAAAATTATATGTTTCTGAAATAAAATTGTTATAAGAGTTATAATATAATCTTAGATCAAACAATATAATCTTGAGCGTGATTGGATCTAACATTAAATAAAATATTATCATGTGAAAAGACGAATGTATTTTGCCTATTTATCACAGTTGGATAGCGTTCACTGAACATAGCCCCTCAAAACATCGAAAACGAAAATGAAAAGGTAAAAAATACTTCGAGTTCACGCAAAGTAATGTTTCAACTTATTTCTCCATAATTTACAAAATAAACAATTGTGTGAAGCTAAATATGTCTGGTTTGAGAGCAGTATTTGCATGTTCAGCAAATTGAATACTTTTTGTTAAATTGTCGATAAATTGTTCATTATTTGTTGGTATTTATGAACGATGTTGATATTTACCACTAAATCAAACCCAAAAACATTTTATGTATCAAAATCTAAACAAAATATAGTCTTCCCTTTATTTGTAGAGTGGTCAGCCATCAACTCTGCTGCTTTTAGCGAAATTGATAAAAACAAAATGTAAACATTCGGTGTCCAGCAGTCACATATTTTTAATGTTCATAGTCTTTTATATTATTTTTATTTAAAAATGATCTCATTTCAGACATAAATATGGAGAAATTAGACGCGGATGCAGACTTATTTGTTACAATATTTCAAACGGTGAAATTACCAGTTTTAAATCACTGATATATTTCTATAAACCATCGAAAAGCATGTAATAAAGAAATATATCAGTGATATAAAACTGGTAATTTCACCGTTTGAAACAGTGAAATTACCACTTTGATAATTTCACTGTTTTGAATTTAAGCCCCTTACGTTGTTTCAGTAAAATACCAGCGTGCACAGAACTGGGTACCAACTTAATGACGTGACGTCGTAAATGACGTCACGTTGTATTATTATTTGGCGCGCTTTTCATTCAGTATTAGGTTTAATGTCTTTTTAAAACGTTTCTTTGCATATAATAAAAAGAAAATTTGTTTAGTTTAGTGTGAGATCGAAATATATTTCACCTTGTGAACACCAAAAGTTCATATTTCACTCGTGGCTGCGCCACTCGTGAAATATACCTTTTGGTGCTCACTCGGTGAATTATATTCCGATCTTACACTGAACTAAACAAATATCCTCTATATAGTATCATAGCAATTTGAACTTGTAACGGGAGACTTTTCAATGAAAACAGCCATTTTTCACAAAATGCTCATGAAGTAATGGGTTAAAGCAAAAAAAAAATTGTTTTAAAACAAATCTTTAATAAGAAAAATAAATGAAAAGACGATTAATTTTTTCCTCTTTTGATATTAATAGATCTGTCCTACCACATTTGTTGTTTCGTCCAAGTATAAATCCTTTTAATAAAAATGACAAAGTAAAGAAAATATAAGCAAAATTCTATCATTTGTCGGTCAAAGTCATTTAAAGGTCAATATCATATCTAAATTATTCAACATGACCCAATGTCAATTTGAGTTTGATATACATGAAAATCCTATACTAAAGAATATTGCCATGACAATAATAGTACATCTATCTTTTTCTTCGAAAAAAAGATTGAGCTAAAAATAGCCCACAAAAAAAGATTGCGGAATAAGTGACATCAACGAAAATGTACAGGCACCTATATTGCTCCTTTAGCCACATATGTATCCAAAATATGTTAGCTCGGACTGACGTTCTCACTCCATAAGCTACCTATTTACATCCCATTAGCAATTTTCTACTATGTACGGAATGAAAACGGATATTCGTCCTTTAATGTCACTTGAGTCCGTACGGATGGACAGACAATTGTCCGGACGGACGAAGGGTGGACCTATGGTCCATTCCGGTTAAACCGCTAGGGAACAAATAAATAACGATTCAGGATCAAACATTAATAAACGCAGGCAGTTTAAAATTTACTTGTGTATAATATTTTTATCAGCAAACTATCTTCAGAAAAAAGCGACAATATATACCTGATTTTGCTTAGCTTTTTTTAGGCAGTCTTATCATGACGTATATTTTTGGTCCTCCCACTTATCGACTTTTTGCGCTATTGTACAATATATTAATCTTCGAACGATTTTCGGTAAGTTCCGTGAGATATGCCCAGTAAGATGTGATTTAATTTAATTTATGTCTATGAAATAATTTCACTGAGTATTATAGCGCATGGAGTAAATACGTGTTGCAAGATTGAGACCCCGTACGTCCATGTTTACATGTATTTATTTTATTTTTTTCTTATTTATATTTTTAACATTATTGAAGTTATGATTGTTTTTTATGCTGTTCATTTTGTTTTCATACGTTTTGTACTTATTTTTAGTAAAGTCTATACTCTTTTAGAATAACATTGTCAAATAATTAATATGTAAAATTCAATCGAATTAAAATCAGTTTCAATGATATCATTTCAATTACAAATCGAGACACTAATTAAGTGTTCCTATCCTAATTAAGTTGCTTCGTATCCGTGTGAACTATATTGCAAGCCCTCGACCATTTCTATTAAAATATGTTGCAATAATTAAGAAAGAGTGGCCTAAAAAGATATCAACATTAGGGAACGAACCATAGACCTCTTATTTATTAGGCAATCACTACGCTCCTTTCGCAGCTCACTGAATACTTCAGACCGCTGCATTCATGATATTGACCTTTACAGTGAACTTTGAACGACCAATGAAAGTTTTCCAAATTCCAAATCGCCGAAAAAACTTTATTCCCTGCGGTCTGGAGACCGCAGGGTATTGGTACGCGTTTAACTTTTGAGGCATGGAGGAGCACGTGACCTGTTTTCGGTACATGGAGGAGCATGTGATCTGTAAACCGTACACGATTGGTTAATTGACCTTTTCGAAAACCTGGCTAAATACCGTTTGTCGGTACGTTACGGAATTACCTCTAGGGAATTAGTCAAAATTACACCTAATTAAGAACCAAAAACTATTTAATTACGTGATATTTCTAATTTTCTATAATTATTTTACCGTTTAAGGTGGAAGAACTTGAATGATGTATTTTAAAATTATCATTGTTTCTTTAATATATGTATCTCAAATTTTACAAACAATAAATTGTTTATACTGAAAATCTACAAAATTAAAATATTCGAGTGGCATCTGCCATAATAAATAGAGATATTTTCTGCGTAAACTTGTGTGTTTACTTTATTTATTTTTCTTGCTCGGAATTATTCATAAAATGGTATGCCTATTTAATCATTTTCTTAAAAAGAAATAATTGTTTTATGTTCGACCTTCTCCGGTCATCAACGGTCACCAGTTTCCAAAGACCTTCTTCTATATTGATCGATTATTGTCAACTTATTCCTGAATCAAACGTTTTTTTTATTCCCCTCCCCCCCAAAAATGTTGAAAAAAATTAAATTTAAAAATCTTTTTTATATTATTTTAAAAAAGTTCCCCCGCAGGAAAAACCCCCTTTTTTTTTTGTACCCCCATTTTCATTGGGTTTAAAAGATGGGCGTGTGACAAAATTTTAAAGGGTTTTTGTCAGGGGACCTCTAACGGGTTGCAGAAATTTATGATTCCCCAAAAAAAAGAAAAAATTCTTTTTTTCGCCGATTTTTTTTCATTTTTTTCCCTTTATTATTGTTTAATTTGGGTTTAAAAGTTTAATTAGCCTGTTTAAGTTCTTCCCCTTGGGTAAAAAAGGGAAGGGTTTTGCATTTTTTTTTTATTCAAGCGCCTTGTCCCGGGATTACCGGAAACGGGTACTTAAATGTGCTCCGAAATTTGGATTTTACTGATGCTGATCCACAAGTTTGGGAATTAGTAGATACTGTCGACAGATTTCTGCCACTTAACATAGTTAAGGATTCCAGCGAAAAATGGTGATATTCGTAGAGGAAAAATATCTGTATTGTGGTTTGACGAAGTACCAACTGTGTCATGGTATGTTTTCTTTATTCATTGTTGTTCTTTCTATCTAGCTTAAGGTCCCGTTTATATACTATGACATGCCGCATCAGATGAAAAACAAAAATGTTAAATAGCGGCTTATAAAGTTTTGGAAGTCGCATCAGATGAAAAACAAAAATGTTAAATAGCGGCTTATAAAGTTTTGGAAGCCAGAACTACTTTCTATCTTATTTTCTATTTGTTGAAAGCTTTATATTGTTAAATAAGCTTTGCATCAACTAGGCAGGTGTCAACTCAGTCCAGTATTATCATGATAATTTGTATAATTTTATCTCAACATTTTATTTCATTGATAGAAACAGTAATGATGTATCATTGATATTTTCTAAAAATTTCTGTCTATCAATTATGGATAGAATCTACTGTATTGACCAATTAAAAAATTTGATGATTTTGACATAATAGATCTAATTAAATGTCTAGAAATTAGGAAAATTCACCCAAAAAAGGTGCCCATGTCTTACAATATCTGTTAATTGTTACTAGTGGAGTAGTGCTACATCATCTGTACATGTCATAGAGTGAGAAAAAAGCAGTCTGACCCTGGACCCTCTACCAACTGAAATATCCAGCTGCTTTCACATTTTCTCAGTGCAACTGGGAACAGTTCTGAAACATGATAGACATGATTGTACTCCTCAGCTCTTGAAGTTTTTCTCATGTAACAGAGCAATGGAATTAAATTCTGGGAAAATACTTTTTTGGGGACCCCCAAAAAACCGGGGCAACCAACCAAAACCCCCCCGGCCCCGAAAATGGGTTAATTTAGTATTTTCTTTGGTTTAGTGGTTTTCATTCAATTTTTTATTTAAAAAATAAAATTGGGATGTTTCTTTTTAAAGTTAAATACACGAAAAATTTTCTTCAACCTCCCTAAATGGTAAAATTTTAAGTCCCATTTTTTAAAAATGTTAACATTTAAACCGGGGTCAAGAAGCAATGGGCCTTTACCTAAAATACCAGCTTTTAATCATTTGCAGAGTGAAATGAATAAACCCAAACTCAGA